AGTGCCCAGTTAGCAGAGCTTGTGGCTCTGACCCGAGCTGTAGAGTTAAGCAAAGGGCAGCGAGTAAATATCTACACTGATTCTAGGTGTGCGCGTTGGACTTTACGTGCTCATGCTGCAATATGGAAAGAAAGACAGGTTAAAACACCCACAGGAGAACCGATTAAGCATTTCAGAGTGATCAGGAGACTTTTAACTGCCATATATTGTCCTAAAGAAGTAGCTGTTATGCATTGCAAAGGGGAAAGCAAGGATGGGAGTCAAGTAGCCAAGGGTAATCAGTTGACTGGTTGCCAAGCCAGAAAAGCGGCACTTTAGGAATTGCCTTCACTGCAGACACTTTTGATCTGGACAGGTCCTGTGGAACAGGAAAAGCCATCATATACTGAGAGAGAATGAGAAAGATATGAGAAAAGAGGAGCAAAGATTGCTGATAAAGGGTGGTTACAGTCTGAGGATAGATGCTTAATAATTCCCGAGAATGCTCAATGGAAAATCCTTAAGTGGTGACACCAGTTTTCATTTAGCTGCAGAATACTAACCAGATGGCTTCTCATTTGTTTGAAGGTAGAAATGTAATGAAAACTTTAAAGAGTATTATAAAAAGATGTGAGGCCTGTCAGAAAAATAACCCAAAGACTGAAATGCTAGCAAAATCTGGATTACAACAAAGTAGAAAGTATCTTGGGGAGGACTGGGAACTTGATTTTACTCATATGCTGAAAGCTAATGGATATTACTGCTTACAAGTTTGGGTGGATACTTTTACTGGATGGATTGAGGCTTTTCCCTGTCATAGTGAACAGCCTAGAAAGGTTGTAAGGATTTTAATCCATGAAATCATCCCCAGGTTTGGGCTGCCACGGAGCCTTCAGAGTGACAACGGCTCCACCTTTAAAGCTGCTGTAACTCAGGGGGCATCTAAAGCTCTAGGAATAGAATATCACTTACACTGCTCCTGGAGACCCCAATCCTCAGGAAAGGTCGACAAGGCTAATGACATTATGAAAAGACATCTGTGCAAATTAACTCAAGAGACACAGGGCAGTTGAACAAAAGTCCTATCCATAGCTTTAATGAGGGCTTGAACTGCCCCCAAAAAGGAGGAACTGTCCCCCTTTGGATGTACTTATGGAAGGCCTTTCTTATGCACAGACATTGTTATAGACCCTGAAGCTTTGGAATTAAATAATTATGTATCTCAGCTCTCAGCTTTTCAACAGGCATTAACAGAACTCCGGGAGATGACTCCTGACCCAGCCTCTGAGTCAAGCAAGCCTCTATTTGAGCCGGGAACCGAGGTCTTGATAAAAACATTGGATTCTGGGGGCCCATCCCTCGAGCCCCTCTGGGAAGGTGCTTATCTGGTTTCTTTCTTCTCCCACAGTCGTCAAAGTGCCAGGAATTGATTCGTGGGTACATCACACTCGAGTGAAGAGGTGGCACCCTGACCAGAACTAAGTGATGTCATTTTATGTCTTTACTTTCTATGCTCTGACTTTGGACTTTTCAGATGGGCCTGACAATCTATGTGAGCCTGCTTCTGCTGACTCCAAAAATCCCCAGTTTGCCGTGTGATCCTCAGGACAATGCCTTCCTGTCCTGGCGTATTCCTACGCTGCAATCCACAATCTGTCTAACTGCTGGGTCTGCGGAGCACTCTCCTCTCCTCATCCGTGGAAGGCTTCCCATGGTGGACATCTCCACTTCAAGGAAAAGACTTTCTCCAAGTCTGCAAATAACTTTGACAACACTCTTATGTGATACCTCTTCTTCATCTGATGACATCTAACAGCCCTAAAATGGTTGCTCAATCTCCTGCTACTGTTGCAGTTATCTCCAGCTACATGGGGCCCCTGGATCAGAAACTCTAGGTAGGAGGGTTAGGAGAATATGTAGCCTCACCAATTTAGGGACAATGCCCCTTGTCAGCTCAGAAGCAGTTAGGAAACTAAAACGATGCCCCTTTCCCTAGGCAACACAATTCTCCTAAAACAAAAGTGAGGAATGAGATGGTAACAGCCAGGAAGGCCAGGGGTCTCCAAATGGAGAAAACAGGCTGCAAGTGTCAGACACTTTTTAATCTCTCTATGGCAGGAGGAAAGAAACTAGTGGTATATTTATTTTTTTCCCCTTCTCTATACAAAATTAAAAAAAGGCTTCTCTTAATACTGTGTTGCCATAATGACACCTGGTTCCACCTGAACTTAACTTTTCTCAAAGCTTGAGTTAACTAACACATTTCTCTTATGGAATTATTTGCCTTAAGCTATGTTAATCTACTATGCATTTACCCCAAACTCTGTCTTCAAGTCGGTTCTGCCTAAAGGCTCAGAACCAACTTGACAAACCAGTATGTTATACTCAGATATTGTTCCCCTAATCTATGTAAAAGAAACTACTTGTATGGTAATCTGCCTATATACAAGATTCAAGTCAATCATTTTATGGCCCAGAATGACTCATCTGGTGCCAAGATTATCCCCAAATACATTTAAAGGTGAGGGGCCTGGTGCCATTCTCTGAGTTTGAAGACATGCCTTTCTTTCATTAACAGACTGCTAGTAACTGTATAACATCCAGCAAAAAACTAGAGGCGGGTATTCTTTCTGCCCCCTTCTGTCTATGTCAGAAGCTTTCTCTATCTCCTTTACACTTTAATAAAACTTTATTACACCAAAGCTCTGAGCAATCAAGCCTCGCCCTTGACCCCGGATTGAATTCTTCTTCTCCAGAGGCCAAGAATCCCGGCGTCTTTTCTTGGCTCAGCAACAACCTTTCAGAATCAAGATTTCTGGCCAAATATCAACCTCAGATACGCAGATGATACCACTTTAATGGCAGAAAGTGAGGCAGAACTAGAGTCTCTTCATGATGGTAAAAAGGAGAATGAAAAACCTGCTTGAAATCCAACATTCAAAAAACTAAGATCATGGCATTTGGTAGGATCAATTCATGGCAAATAAAAGGGAAAAAGTGGAAACAGTGACAGATTTTATTTTCCTGGGCTCCAAAATCACTGCAGACAGTGACTGCAGCCATGAAATGAAAAGACATTTGCTCCTTGGAAGGAAAGCTATGGCAGACTTAACATATTAAAAAGCAGACACCACTTTGCCAAAAGTTCCATGTAGTCAAAGCTATGACTTTTCCTGTAGTCATGTACAGATGTGAGAGTTGGACTACAAAAAAGGCTGAGTGTTGAAGAATTGATGCTTTTGAACTATGGAGCTGGACAAGACTCTTGAGAGTCCCTTGGACTTCAAGGAAATCAAACCAGTCCATCCTAAAGGAGATCAACCCAGATTATTCATTAGAAGGACTGATGCTGAAGCTCCCCTACTTTGTGCCCCTAATGCCGAGAGTTGGCGTATTCAAAAAGACTCAGATGCTGGGAAAGATAGAAGGCAAAAAGCAAAAGGGGCATAAGAGGATGAGATGGTTAGAGAGCATCACTGACTCAATGGACATGAATTTGAGTTGGGTTTGGGAGATAGTGAAGGACAGGGGAGCTTGGTGGGCTACAGTCCACAGGGTCACAAAGAGCTGGACAAAACTTAGCAACTGAACAATATTATACATATTGAATATGAAATATATGTGTATATATGCACATATGCATATATATTCAATAGGAATAATATAGACTATTGAAGATAATATATTTTCTTATAACACTCTCTCTCTCTCTCTCTCTCTCTCTCTCTCTCTATATATATATATATATATATATATATATATGCTGCTCAGATGCTTCAGTCATGTCTGACTCTGTGACCCCATGGACTGCAGCTTTCCAGGCTTCCCTGTCCATCACCGTCTCCTGGAGGTTACTGAAACTCATGTCCATTGAGTCGGTGATCCCACTCAACCATCTCATCCTCTGTCGTCCCTTCTCCTCCTGCCTTCAATCTTTCCCAGCATTAAGGTCTTTTCCAATGAGTCAGTTCTTCACATCAAGAGGACAAAGTATTAGAGCTTCAGCATCAGTCCTTCAGATTTCCCTGAGGATGTGCTGGTTGGATCTCCTTGCAGTCTGAGGGATTCCAAGAGTCTTCTCAACACCACAGCTGAAAAGCATCGATTCTTCAGCAGGACCAAGGATGTGTCTGAATTCTTCTCTGCTGTCCTTAGCTGGTGGGCAAAGGGGCTGCTCATCCCAGACACTGCATCTGTGTCCCGGGATGGGCAGAGAGTGAACCGCACTCGGGAAGCCCTGCCCTTGGACCCCAGGGCATCTCACAGTGAATACCAGGGTCACGTGGATGCCCCTGGGGGCAGAGGGGTCCGGGCTGCACTGGGAAGGACAAGGGGAGGATGGGTGTCAGGTGGGCATGGGGCCGGTCGGGCCAGAGACGAAGGACAGGAGCTGTGGGTGGAGGGGTCCCGTGTGGGCCGTGCTGGGCAGAAGGGGGCTTGGGGCTCGGGTGTGGAGTGTCGGGTTGACCTAGTTGGGTGAGGAGGCCCCAGGGCCGGGGGGCAGAGTGGGGAGCAGCAGGGCAGGGGGTCAGGGAGGGAAAAGTGAGGGGGTGGGGTGGGAGGGTAAAGGTGCAGGGTTGGGGGTGAGGGGGCTGTAGGGACGGACCTGGAGAGGGGAGTGGGTGGGCGAGGGTGTCCTTTTGCACCCCTGTGTTCTGTCACTGAGTCCTAGATTCTCCTTCCCTCCAACTGTAGCTGAAAGTGCCGCCTCCTTCGGGAAGTCAGCCCAACTGACTCCAGACCAGACTGAGCAGGGAGACCTGGCCCCCCTGACATGCTCTGCATCTTCGCTCACGTACTGCAGCGAGGCCTGCGCCTGACTGCGGCCCCCGCCCAGACCCCGTGCAGGGACCCGGGACGGTGAGTGAGGGAAGGAGTGGCGGGCACCCTGCCTCTGGGCAGGGCAGGCCGGCTCTCTGCTAGAAGTCTCTGCGGACCTCCAGGCCTGTGTGGGGGGTGGGGCAAGGCAGGAAGCCAGGCAGGAAGGGGCCTTGCAGTCAGACTCAGTGAGCAGCTGTCACCGGAGCTGGCCTGGGGCTTCAGGGCTTTCCTGTCTGGGGGCAGCGGGGGCGGGGGCGTTGTCGCACAGAGAAGAGGCTGCCGGGCGCCCGGGTGCGTCAAGCCGCTGCCCCACAGAGACCAGAGCTGGCTCTGAGGTCTGGCGCACGGCCCGCACCTAGGAAAGGAGCTCGGTGAATGCCACCCTGAACCTCTACCCCTAGCGGGGTCCAGACCCTCTTGCAGACAGGCTCGGGGTGACAGGCAGGCAAGTGCAGGCTGTGGACCCACCTGAATGTAGAGCCCATGGGGGCCTCGGGCTTCTGGGGGTCTGCTGTGGGCCGGGCCACCACGGCTGCCTTGGGTGGCCGAGACACCAGAGCTGGGGCCGAGGCGTGAGCACCCGGAGGGGCCATGGTGTGGGGCTCCCGAGGAAGACCTGTGTGAATGACTGTCCCCCAGGAGGAGATGGCTCTGGGGCTCCCGCGTGGCTGGGAGGAGGGCCCGGGGCCTCTTTCGAGATGGTCTTATTGGGGCCACCTCCTGAAAAGGGGCCTGAGTGCTGCCTCGATCCTGCCTCCCGTGGAGGGAGGCTCCCTATGGCCAGCACTGCGGCCAGCCCCAGGCAGCAGGCAGGGCTTGGGGTCTGTGGTCCTGGTGGATACACGCGGACAGTGCGGCTCTGAGCTTCCTGGGTGTCAGTGCGTGGTCCGCAGGGGCTGGACACATCCCTGGGCAGCTCGGGACACTGGGGTCAGCTCTGGCTGGTGACTCTGGAAACATGGAGAAGGATGTGGACACAGTCGGGACGCATGACTCGCCCAGCTCCAGGACCTGGAGACCAGGCACCGCTGGGCGCTGCTGGCTCACCCCAGGTCTGAGGGTGGTGCAGGGCGGGCTGCACTCTGCTCTCTGACCTCAGGCCCGGGGTCGGGTCCCTAGGGGGCCGGTTTGCCTACATCGCCTCTTTCAGTGTCACTCTGCTGAGCTCTACAGTGACCTAGGACTACCCTGAATCCCCATTGCCCTCCCCGGCCCAGGGCTGCTGTCATGAGGTTGGGCGGCCAGTCAGGACAGGACCCGAGAGTGTGGGCCTTTGAGTCTGAGCCTGGCCCACTGCCCGCCCGTGGCCGGTGCTATGAGTGGCTGAGACCATGGGCGTCTCAGCAGAGGCCCAGCCTGCCTCAGGCCTGCAGAAGCTCCTCCAGGTTCAGGGGGCGGGAAGCTGCTGGGGGTCTCATTGTCTGGGTCTCAGCAGCCCAGCTCCTGGCCCAGGACCCTTCATCAGGCTATTGCTGCCCAGAGAAAGCAGGCTGAGGGCGTGCAGGGTGCAGTCCGATGGTCAGGAGGGCACGGTTGGACCCAGACCTGGAGGACAGGCTCCCTGGTTGTGGGACCTTGGGGCTGAGGTTTTTGTCTTGGACAGTGTCACTGTGGTACAACAAGACTACAATAACCACCACCATAACACCACCGTGACACAGCCGGCATCAGAAACCCCGCTGCTGGCCTTCAGCGCCCCCGTGGTCTTGTCTGGTGGGCGTGGAGCCCTCGGGAGCTGTCAGCTGGTCCAGGTCTGGACGGGCCCAACAGCAGGGTGGCCTGTGATGCCTGCTTCCCCAACCCACCCTGCGGCCATGGAGGACCCTCGTCCAGGTGCAAGGCTCTGTTCATCCTGGACCGAGTGGCTCTCTGAGCCCAGGTTTGATGTCCTGCTGGGCCGCACTCCGAGCCCCTTCAGGCCGATGGTGGCGGGTCAGGGAGCCTCAGAAGCTGAGCGGAGGCCAGAGCAGGGCGGCCGTGGTCAGCATCCTCGCAGGAACCTGGCAGGTAGGGACGCCAGTCCATCTCGAGCTCCCCAGGCTGACCTGTGCGGTGGCGGGGGGCTAAGCTGCGGGGCTGGGAGGGAGACTTAGGTATAACGGCTCCCACGGGCACTTTCTGCAGAGGCTGTCCTGCCTTAAATATAAAAGCCATCTCATCAGTTTTCAGGGTCACTTCAGCTGTGGACAGGAGAGGGTGCCCCCCTGGCGTCCTTGCAGTGGCTTAATAGAATGGGTCTTTGCTTCCCATGGGTGAGATCACTGGGTGAGCCGTACAGAGTTCTGAGTGTCTGGTCTGAGTCTGTGCAGTGACCTGGACAGAATTTGGCTTCTAGAATTTCATCTGGACTTCCCTGGTGGCTCACTGGTAAAGAAGTCTCCTGCCAATGCAGGAGATGTTGGTTCGTTCTTGGGTCAGGAAGCTCCCCTAGAGAAGGAAATGGCAACAGACTCCATTATTCTTGCCTGGGAAATTAGATGGCCAGAGGAACCTGGCGGGCTATACAGTCCATGAGGTTGTAAAAAGTTGGATACAACTTAGCATCTAAACCACAACAAACAAGAAAAGAGTTTCAGTGATGATGTCTGACTGTTTGCTGACACGTCATCCAGCCTGAGCTTCTTTTGGGGGCATCAGGGAAGGAACCCACACACAGCCATGGGGCATCAGGGCAGGATTCCTACACGTGGGCATGACCAGTTTTGCAGACGTCTGAAAGCTTGCCCCAAATCCACTGGGGCCCAGATTCGCCTGTGCAGGTGAGTGCAAACTCGGTAACCTCAGCGCTTTCTTGAGGATTAACCTTCTAATTAGATTCCTACCTCTTCCTTAGTCAGTTTTGTTCCTGGATAAGCAGCATTCTGGGTGACGGCGCTGACTTTGTCGGCCAACTCGGCTAACCCTTGTGCTCTGACCTGCTCGGGCCTCCCAGCCTGCACTGTGTCCAGGGCAGAGGAGCAGAGCCTGCTGGGGGAGCGGGTGGTGCGGGGCAGGGAGCGCCCCTGGACTGGGGCAGAGACAGGGAACAATGCTGCAAACACGGCTGGATGGCCGGGCTGCCTGCGAGCACAGCCCGCTGGGGAGGTGGCCTTCAGCTGGAGGGTGTGTCGTGCCCTGCCCAAGGGGCAGAGCCGCTGGAGCGAATGCCACGGCTAGGCTTTGGCTCCACAGACACGGCCACTCTGGTGGGGGGCGCACGCGTTCCGGAGCTGTGGGCGGGGGCAGGTGTCTCAGCTGCCGCAGAGGGAGGGAGGGGGCTCGGGATGCAGGAACACAGTGGCAGTAGCTGATGAAGAGCCTGGCGGACTGAGTGCTTGCTGTGGTCTGGGCACCACGCGCAGTGCCCACGTGTCACTTTCTGGGTCCTCACCATGAATCCCCAGGGGACCCGTGACGACCATGACCACTAATTACTCCACAGGCTGGCCACGGGCAGCAAAGGACCCAGCACACCGTTGCCTGCCAGCTGCTGGTGGCGCCAGATCTTCATGCAAGAACGGAGGCTGTGATGCGGAGATGGCGCTGGGGTGGGTGGGCAGGGTTGGTTGTGGGCTGGGGAAGGGCTCTGCCTCTGGGGAGGATGGTGCAGAGGCAGGGAGTCCAGGGCAGGTCCGCGGTGAGCTCAGGCAGAGTGGACGACGCGCACTCTGCTGGGTCTGGACGGAGGACTCGCCAGCCCTGTGTTCTGAGGCTGATAGTGTGCCTTTGAGGACAAGAGGAGCCTGTCCACTGCCCCGGGGTTCCTCTGGGCACCAGCACGGGGCCCCAGGCAGAGGGCAGTCTCCCCTCATCTCCTGCAGGTCCCTCTGGAGCCCCAGGTGGCCAGCAGGGCCCCTGGAGCCTAGCGCCCCCGGCGTGTGTGCCCTCGTGGGGCTGCAGCTGTCTGGGCAGCTGTGGCTGCTCGCTGAGGTCCTCAGCAGTGTCCGTGCCTATCCGCTCAGCCTGGGCTGGGTGAGGCAGCCTGTCCTGGGGGTCTCCATGCAGGTGGGTTTTCCTTCTGAGGCTGCTAGCAGCCCCCGGGCCACAGGGACTGCAGTGCTGCCCCCTGTAGCGGGGCCGGCTGGCGTCTATGAGCAAGGACAGCTGAGAGTAGGAGGCAGGAAGGTGTGGCTCTGGGGAGTGGTGGGAGGCCTCAGTTCAGTCAGTTCACTCTCTCAGTCATGTCCCACCCTGCGACCCCATGGGCTGTAGCATGCCAGGCCTCCCTGTCCATCACCGTGTCCTGGAGTTTGCTCAAACTCATGTCCATGGAGTCGGTGATGCCATCCAACCATCTCATCCTCTGTCGTCCTTTTCTCCTCCTGCCTTCAATCTTTCCCAGGATCAGGGTCTTTTCCAAGGAGTCAGTTCTTCACATCAAGTGGTCAAAGTATTGGAGCTTCAGCTTCAGCATCAGTCCTCCAATGAATATTTAGGACTGATTTCTTTTAGGATAGACTGGTTGGATCTCCTTGCAGTCCAAGAGACTCTCCAGAGTCTTCTCCAACATGGAGGTACTGAGGCGGGGCCGATCAGGAAGGCGTGGCTCTTGTGGGTGGTGGGAGACCTAGGGAGCATCTCCTCCCCGTTGGGCCCCACCTGCCGCCGATGAGCCCCTCCCTGCCGGTCCAGGGTTCCTGGGGCTCACTCACCAGTCACTGTCATCAGTCCCACTCTTTGGTACTTGCTGCTTGGTCCAGGTTTCTTTGGTTCTTCCCCAGAGACAGGGGAAGATATCCTCTATTTTAGACACTACTTCTGCTTTCAGTTTCAGAATCGACTAATACCAAATAAGTGTTTTCCATTGGGCTGCTTCAGGTCAAGAACCATGACAATACTGCCTCTGCATCCTCTCCGTCCTCCCAAAGCCCTGGATGAACCCGAAGCCTCTGACTTTGCTCAGCGGGACTTTGCAGTGGCTAATCCACAGCAGCCCACTTTCTCCAGCTTCTTCTCTCACTTGGGGGAAGAACCGGCTGGACGGAGAAGAACGTTGTCTCTCAAGGGCTTGGGTGGAAGAGTGGCCTTTCACCATGGGGTGCTGTCTCTGGGTCACTTGCTTCCTCAGGTACAGGACGGAGCAGGTGGGCCAAAGGAGGCTTTGTCAAGGTTCTGAGCAGGTGCCCCGGTGTTGAAAGCACCTAAACCCAGGCTCTCTGCCAGCCCTGATCAGCAGTGGCGGGGAACAGTCCTGCCCCTGGACAGGGTAGGGGCACCTCTTCTGCCTGCACTGGGCTCTGCAAGCAGGGGTCGGTGGGAGGTGGGAGGACCCTGGGGTGGTTGGGAGGGTCTTCACACATGAGTGCTGGCAGTGAATCTCCCAAGCAGAACCGGTGGTCCCTGGACTCCCACTTCCTGGAGCCATTGTGGGGCCAGGAGAGTGTTTCCAGAACCTTCCATCGCTGAGTTTTAGAACCCAGTTTGAGTTTGAGGATTTTAAAGCCTTTATCGAAGAATTGTGGAAAAAGAGGAGAGCCAATCTAGATTCTAGCACTGAGTCTGCAGAGCCGGGAGGCCTTGGGCACCAGGCTGGCCTCCCGGGGGTTGTCCTCACGGGGTCCTGACACACCCAGCACTTGAGCACACTCACTCTTGCACACACGCGCATGACGTTCACCTCAGAAACAGCCAGAGGTCACCCAAGGGTGAGAAGTGTCTGTCTGGGTCTCTGCTCTGTCCTGTGGCTGGATGTGGAAGGCACCCACCCTGCCCGGCTGCCAGAGGACAGTGGGGCTGCGAAATGTGGCAGACCACCCCATTCACCCCCCACCCCATGTGAACAGTCCTCGACTGGGAGTAGTCCTCAACCACCCTGAATCCAGTTTGGGTTTGGCAAAAGAGAAGGCACCTAGGAGATGAGGAAAACCTCAGTGTTCAAGAGCACTGACTTGGAGGAAACCCACACAAAGTTGCCCCCAAGGGGGTTGTCAACGCCCGGACCAGCAACTTTGGGTCAAGACCTAGTAGCTGTCTCAGCTCTCTCCTGACCAGTCTCAGGCTCAGTTTGGGCTCTTAGGAATACAAAATATTAGAGAACACCTATGTTTAGTTTTCAAGATTTATTTCAGAGTGCTGGTTAGCAGCCTATCGGAGAGACCTGCTGTGAGAAGGCTGACCCTCCTGATACCTGCCCCCACCCGTCTGCTGCAGACTTCAGCTTTGCTGTCTATCACTGATTCCTTCTCAGAAGTTCCTCCTACCTCCCCTGCAGTTGTGCAGGGATCAGGAGGCTGGTTTACACAGGTTGTACGGTCTCTTCCTTAATTTTGCTGGTCCGGATAGTTTTTACATTTGTGGCCACACCAAAGAGCAATGCAGCTGTCAAGGCATACAGGCGAGCGAACACCAGTCTCTCATAGACTATAATTGTTTCATCATATGGTACTGAACGAAATCGACTTGGAGGGGGCCCGCTGTCTTCACTCCCTCCGTCACCCTTGGTTTTGCAAAGCGGAGGTGCCCAGCCCACGTGGCAATGGCAGTTGTCTTCACTGTTGCAAACTCCTCTGGAGCTGCATTTCTCAGGGAGACATGTATACTCTATTTTACTCACAGAATTGTTGCAGAAGGTGTTTAAACAGTACATTCCATCACCACAGAGGGTACCCTCTCTCACTCGGCCAACATCAATGGTTCCTTGCCCACGGTGTAGGTCCAGCCCAAAACACAAGGACCCTGACATATGAGTTTGATGAAATCCAACGTGTTCCTGCAGCCGAGGGAGAGAGGTGACGTTGGTGCACTGCAGCCTTCCACAAAGCTGATGCTCCTTCTTACAAGCTATAAAGAAGCGAGAGGTAGCAGTTCTTCTACAGTGTCCAAATCGGTTGGCTGCTCTGTTTAGAGTATAGCAGTCATCCGGAGCATTGAAAGCCCCTCTACCAAAGATTTCCTTGCAATGCACATTGCGGTCAGTGCAACTTCCATTAAAGCAGTAGCCCTCTTCACCACATGGGGTTCCATCTTGCATAAAAACATCTTTAGGGCAGGTCTTGCTTACCCCACGGCAGTACTCAGGAAGGTCACATATACTCTGGATGGGTCTGCAGAGCGTCCCAGGGTTGGAGAATGTGCAGTTTGTGCAGCATGTTTCTACATCACAGTTACTTTTAGCAGTCCAGGAACAGAGGTTGTCACAGCATGGGTTGTTATAGCACTCCTTGAAGGAGCCACAGTCGCATTGCTCCCCATTTTCCACTTCTCCGTTTCCACAACGTTCGTGTGTCATTGATTTATTGTAATATACCAAGTGCTGCTCATACATACAAGAGCTTGTATCACTCGATAATACATGTGTTAAATGCAAGAAGGAGCAGTTACTGAAAGCGTCTGTCAGTGACTGGTAGCCATTCATAATGCAGGTGGTCCTTCTCTGGCAAACACAGTCATAGTTGTCGTAATACAGACCAATACTCCTGCCGATTAGAAAGCACACATAGAGAGCCACTTGTAGGATAGATTTCCCTGATGTAGCCATTGCAATCAAATTATTTCTGGTGCAGAAACTATACAGGGATGGAACAACGGCACCATCTGGTGGCTCAATGGTATTAAAGACTATGCCAGTATGTGATCTAAAAATAGGAATTAGGGTTCTTTCATAGAAGTTGAAGTATGGACTATTTGGTCTGAGAGACTTAGTGCTGACTGGGTCCATGACATCGAAAATGTGTAGGACGCTAATATAAAACCTTAACTCAAGACCACGATAAACTGCATCAATGATATTGCCCACCTCCACCAGGTACTGAACAGCTATTGACACATTGTTTACGGTTCGGTAAAATGCATTAGTAGACTGCACTATTCCTTTAATATGTGCTACATGGAAGAAATACAGCTTACTAGAAAATCGGGGGACTGCAGTGATGTTTGCTGGAGAGAGCAGAGGGTCCCTTTCCTCCTCATACCCCGGTCTGTGCATCAGTCCCATTGCGCTGGCATCTGCCACCATCTGAGAAACAGTGTGCTCAAACTTTCGAGCATGCTTGAGGGGGCTGATTTCATAGGTAAGGTCATCCAACTTCATATAACCCTGGAGACCCCCGTAGCACGTGTTCATGGTGACCATGGAGAAAGGGATCTCCTCCAGGTAGCCAAAGTAGTAACAGTCTTCAGGGACGAAGGGGTGGTCCGTCTGCAGGACTCCTTGGTCATCCTGAGTCATCATCAGGTACCCAGGCCAAAAGAGCCTCTTGCGCCGCAGGCGGATAACGTGCCTCTGTCCCCCAAAACGCAGGCTGTAGGAGAGCCAGCCCAGCACCTGGGCCTCCTTGCCTTGGTGCTGCTCCCTCCTGGGAATCACCACCTCCGTGGAGACGTAGCGCCATGAGGGGCGGTCCGGAGAGCACTGGACAGCGGCCAGCACTGCCCAGAGCCCGAGCAGCCAGAGGGCTGCCCTCAGGGTGACCCGGCCCTCGGCCAGCATGGGGGCGCTGCTCAGGGATGTCGGCCAGTGAGGACAGAGAAGGGGAGGCCCCGCAGAGGAGCCAGGTCTGAGCCGCGTGCTGAGGCCACTGCCACCCGAGGAGACACTGACGCAGAACAAAGGGTGCCTGGGCTGCCAGCGCCCAGCCCTGCCGGGTCATCTGCAGAGACTGAGTCACAGTCACCGGGCGAGGCCCTGGGTGAGCCTGGTCATCAGACCAGCGGGGGCTGAGCAGGGGCGGGCGGAGGGCCGTGTCCACGAGGGTGACATGGGAGGGGCAGGGCAGGGGAGCGGAGGCCTGTCTCCACTCCACACGTCCAGCCCTTCTTCCGGCGGTCTGCACGCCCGACGTACACCTGCACCGCGCTCACGACCCCCACTCTGCCCGCGGGGGCTGCCAGGCCCCCTCCTGCACAGTCCTCTCTTCCTCCCGGTGAGCACCACTTCCTTCTACTTTGGCGATTGGAACCAGACACTGCTCACGTCACATTCATAGGTGCTGAAAAAGTTCATAATTGCATGTGTCTCATTCTGGTTGGCAGGTAGGTCACTTGCAAACCGTGTGTTCCTCTTGGTTTTCGCTTGGGAGCTTCGTTTAGGCCCCCTGAGGAGCAGGCTCCCCACTCTCCTCTGGGACGCTCTCTGCGATTCTTGCTGACCCCGGCTGGTGAGACCAGAAGCCAGGCCTGACTGCGAGCCCCCGGGTTCCCTTCTTGTCCTTCTGTGCGGCTCTTTCCTGGAAGGGGATGGTTTTCGCCTGTGCCTCTGTGGACCCAGGGGGCCTGCTGGTACCCAAGGGGAGCGAGGAAATGTTTCAGGCATTTTTACACAACTTTGTAGCCATCCACAGAGGACAGAAACTCACTCACAGGGCAGAATCAAAAGCAAGATTTCCCTTTTGTCCGTAGTATGAGAACTCTGTATCAACAGAGGGTGCCCTGTGCTGCATTTTGCTCATGGGGCCGTTTCGCTTTTTGCCTTCTTGTCTTGGGAGACAAGAAGTCTGACTCAGGTCGGATCTGGTTCCTTCCCTTTCAGGTCTGTGTTCTGTTGCCTTGACTGCAAGCTGCTCGCTGCAGGGAGGTGGTCCATGGTGTACGGAGCGGCTGTCCCCTGAACCCTGCCCCCTTGTCCCAGTGTCAGCTCACAGGAAACCCCTGGCCAAGCCCCGCTGGGCACGGCTGCAGGGGATGAGAGCCGGAGCCCTCCATGCAGAACCCGGTGGGAAGCAGGGCGTGCCTGCAGCAGCCTGTGGCCTGTAGCACTCTACGTCCTCACCTCCCGGTCCCCGCACCGTGAGAGGAACCAGAGTCAAACCCCAGGCCAGACGGCCCAGGAGGACCCACTCGGCCCTCTGCTCTGTCCGCCGGCTCTGCCAGTGAGGCTGCGACTGTGACCCGACTCCCGGGCCTGGGCGGGTCGGCCTGCCGCGAGGCGAGCCGCGCGGAAGGAGCTTGGGCTCCGGGATGTCTCTGGGCCCTGCTGCTCCGCAGCCCTGCCCGTTTCCTCTTGGCTCTGTATTCAGTGTCCGTGCCTGCTGTCATCCTGGGGGAGTCACAGACGCCTTCACGTCCTCCTCACCGTTTGCAGAAACGGTCAAAGGGAGTACTTCCCGCAGGCGGGAAAGCTGTTTGCTTTCACCTGCCGGATCCTGCAGAGGACGGCGCACTGCGTCTGCCTTCAGGCCTGTGCACCAGCGGCTGTTGCGGCGGAGGCGCCTGCCAGGGAGGCTGTCATCTCTCACTGCCCACGGGAAGGTCCGTCTCTGATTTCCGGGCCTGGTGTTTTGGTTGCAGGAACACAGGATGTGGGTTGTGTGAACTCTGGCAGCCTGTGTGCTCCTGGGAAGTTCTGTGATGATAACTGGGCAAAGGTGCTTTGGCAGCCTGCGGTATCCAAGTCCCAGAGACGTGCAATTGGAGACGAATTGGCAACGGGCAAGAGGCTGCCGATGCCGTGGAGCCTGGCTCCTGCTGCCCACAGTTTCTCCCTCTTCCCAAATCCGGATGGTCCGCCACGTTCAGGATAAGACCCAGATCCTACTGTCCACAGTTTCTTAATCTTTCCCATCTGGGGGGTCCTCTGTGCTGAGGATCAGCCCCAGAGACAACATCAGAAGACAGGAGTCTCAGGACGTTCACTCAGCTTAGATGTGATGTACCCGGTCACTGTTTCCACCCTTCTGTACCTACGCCCTGACTTCTTCAGAGCGTGGGAGGACACCTGCTGACCAATACTCTGCACCAGGCCTGCAGGCAGCTCTCGCTTTGGGTGTGAAAAGGGTCGGTATCCATTCCGCTGCATTTAGCAGCCCAGTTGTCTCCACGTGTCTCGAGAGGTCGTGTCAGCCTCCTGAGTGTGGGCTGGGGAGGAGACAGGCATAACCTTAGAAGGAGGCAAACATCACATGCCCACAGGTGGCAGGAGAGCCAGCAGAGCCCAGGGACCCCCGGGATTTCTGAAGGGGCCCACAGCAGGGCAGCCCCTCTGCCAGACCTGCAGTTACCATACACAGGGTCCCCTTCCCTCTGCAGTGTGGGCCCCACAGTAAGGGTGGGGACCTCAGGGCTTGGTGAGGAGAGCACCTGGAGCACACGCATGTGGCTACCTGGGGCATAACCAGCTACTGCGTTCCCTGCACATGCGGTTTACAGAAGCTGTCATTATGCAGAAGTTGGGGCTGCTGGGGTGAGGTCGGTTTGGGGGAACTAGTCCTATAGATCCTTTCTTTGGCTGCAGGGAATCCTGTACAAGGCAGCTGGTCCCCCTCCCGAGAAAGAGTGATCAAGAGGGTGCTCATGACCTCCAAGGACCGAAGTGCAGGCCCAGAGGGCTTGTCCCCGGTCACCTGCCCCCGAGCAGAGACGCTGTGAGTGAGGCATCATCAGGGGCAGATGCAGTGTGGGCAGTGCACAGGTGCCAGGGTGGCCTCGTGGGGATCCTGGCCTGGCCCATCGAGGCAGGGCTGTGGGCCGCCCGCAAAGCAGCCTGCCCACTGCCTGATGGACAAGGGGAGTGTGTAATGGGACATTTCCAAGAGGCGGACATTGTGCCAGGACTGCTGTGGCCACCACTTCTACCGGCCGGGGTTGGCCATGCGGCTCTGCCACCCACTGACCTTTACGCCACCCCCCTTTCCCTGGACATGGCCAGAGCCGGAGCGGAGGAGGACGGGGGTCCATCGGGGCGTGTCTCATACACCCACCAGGAGCTGGCCCCTCCAGCTCCCACAGGACAGCACACATGGGAACAGAGACACTTGCATGTTGCCCCAGACTGCATTTCAGGAGGCAGACGGGGCTTCATCATCCCTCTGTCGTCCCACCACCCAGGCTGCTATTGAGGAGACAGAATGACCTGTGAGCAGCGTCGAGGGGCCCTTGGGGTGGGGAGGGACTCTGTGCCCACCCTGGTGTGTGTGAGACAGAGCTTCTGTGGTGGGGCGGGGATCTGGAGCCCCGTGCTTGTAGCAAGACCTGTGTTCTCTGTGGGACCACTCCCCTTCTGTGAAGGTCACAGTGCAGTGGACTTTCAGGAGAGTGAGTGTCCGTCCCCACAGGTATGCAGGGGACACGTCTGAGAGCAGCAGGACCGGAGAAAATCCAGACCCTCCCTGAGAGCTGTCCTCAGCCCCAGGGCCACTGCTTAGCCATACTGTTAGAACGGCTAAAACCCACCAGTCTTGCGATGCCCACTGCTGACCAGTGAGGAAGACAATGGAGAAGCTCGCCAGTGTTGGTGGAGAGAAGGTTGACCAGTCACCTCGGCAGGCGGTGTGGCAGTTTCGAAGAAAGGTAGCATGGTTTTACCCTTTTCATACTATTTGTGAGGTTCTCGTGGCAAGAACCCTGGAATGGGTTGCCATTTTCCATAAAGAAGCTGAGCAGCAAAGAATTGATGCTTTTGAACTGTGCTGCTGGAGAAGACTCTTGAGAGTCCCTTGAACAGCAGGGAGATCAAACCAGTCAATCCTAAAGGAAATCAACCCTGGATATCCATTGGAAGGAATGACGCTGAAGCTCCGCTACTTTAGCCACCTGATGTGAAGAGCTGACTCACTGGAAAAGACCCAGATCCTGAGAAAGATTGAGGCCACAAGGAGAAAGGGGCGGCAGAGAATGAGGTGGTTAGATAGCATCACCAACTCATTGGACATGAGTTTGAGCAAACTCCAAGAGGTAGTGGAGGACAAGTGGCCTGGCGTGCTGCCGTTCACGGAGCTGACTTAGCGACTGAGCAACATCAGCAGCTTTATCCTGAGATCGGCAAGCATGCTTCTCGGTGTCTTCCTGAGTGCCCTGAGGCGCGTCCACACAGTGCACACGAACGGCTGGGGTAGCTTCTCCCATGACTGCTGAGACTGGAGGCACGCACGGCGTCCTTTCCCAGAGAAAGAGCGGGCCGCCTGTGGGCCACACACGCAGGGGAAGGGTGGAGGAAAGAGCGACTGAGCCCTGAAGGGTCGTCTAGGAATCTGTTCTTTTCAGTGGATGGAAACTTCAGGTGTCATGAAACTAACCGTTTGACACCAAGCCGCTGAGCAGCCACCTCCTCCCTCCGGGCCCTGAAGGCTCCCGTCAGCCCTCTCGGGGGCTGCCTGCTCCTCACTGACCGTGTCCCTGACTCGGAGGAGCCTTGCTCTCCTTCCATGTGGAAAAGCTGCTCCATCTGTGGACTCAGGTGTCTGTGCACTAGGTGATGCGCGCGGCAAGGTACCCGCCTGTCAGTGCGGCAGACGGAGGAGGGGAGGCTCCGTGAAGCACAGGCTGAATCAAGGTTGCTGGGAGAAGTAAGATCCCTGGGTCGGGAAGATGCCCTGCCCGAGGAAGTGGCAACCCACTCCAGTGTTCTTGCCTGAAAAATCCCATGACAGAGAAGCCTGGCGGGCTACAGCCCAGGGGGTCTCAAAGAGTCAGGTACAACTGAACGTGCATGGAGTCTCATTTCTTCCCGTGGTTTATGTTTTGTCTTATGTTTTGTAGTTTTCAGGGCACATGTCT